ACGGAATGTTAGATGGTTGATGATGCCTTATCGTCAGACAACTATTTCGTAGCCCCAATGGTATATATGGCCATTAGACTTGAGAAACCAAGGATGTCCTATATGAGTACTCCACTATTTGATACTAGACTTATAGGTTTGGAGGTTCCTGATCTAGCATAATCAATCATCAGGAGTTGTAGCCAACTTTATGAGGACTATTGAGTGTCGATAGAGGATCATCCGCTTTCACTATCCTGAGAGAAATATCTCATGTGTTCTTGCACAAATCTCTAGCCATAGTCATTCGGATTGAGAGAAAGAGTTCTATGGGAGACTCTGATTAGAGTGAGACTCGAGTAAAAACCATATGAGTATGACAGCACCATGCCCGAGATATAGTCTCTAGGATATTAGATGGATGAAGGACTATAGGTACATGGTAATTGAGGACAAACATGTCCAATGGATTGGATTCCCCTATATCGTTTGGGGACTGCGGCGTAGTGGCTTTGTATATCCGTAGTCGATGAGTCGAGTGAATTATTATGGAGATCTCCATAATAATTCACTGAGCCAGAAGAAGTTCTAATAGGTATAACTCATAACCATCTCGAAATTGGGCCTAGAGGATCACATATATATGGTAAGCATTGTGATGAGTAGAGGTTCAGATATAAGATATCCGTCGGAGCTCATATCTTATTGGATATCTAATAAGCCCATAAATTATTGGATCCTATAGATGAGATCCAATAAGAGCCAATGAGAGGCTTGGGTAGTTGGATGAAGATCGAATACCGAATATGGCATGATCCATTAGGGTTAAGTCGACAAGAGACCTCTATAAATAGGAGGGAACCAATGGTTTATAGGCTAGAGCATCTCTGGGTTGCCATATGCTATTCTCCTCTCATTCTCCTCCTTAGATAGAAGGCTTAGAGTTTTGAAGAGCATCGTCGCAATCCTGTTGTGTAGATCACCGCTAGAGAGGAGGCCGCTTGATCTCTTTCACCATATCCTAAAGATTTATAGGGATTTAAGAATATATGATCTCCCTAGATAACACAATCTTTAATATATGTAATTTTAAGTTTCACGGATTTTGCGCACCAATCTTCGCACGATGACAAATACATCTTTGGAAAATTTAAGGATTTTATTTTATGTTCTTCCGATGCGCATGTGATGTCGTCCCCTATATTTCCTAACAATATCTCATGAAGAGACTGAATAGAGATGGAGTTTATGAGTGGTCAACTATTATATTATCTCTATCTAAATTCATCTTCATTTTGGTCACCATAAAAACTCTATTTTAAGAATGATACCATTGCTTAGGGCATCTTTTTTAAGGTTCTAAATCATATTATTTATTCTTAAGATTTACCTTTCTCATCATCATCTTATCATCTCTTTCCATATAATCTATACAAATACAATAAATTACACAAGCTTCCATTTTCTACCTCCTCTCTGGTAAGTAACTCATCTCTTGAACCTATATATTGGATTCTTTATCAATACAATCTCATGAAAAATTTAACTACTATCTTATTTTGATTGATTATTTTACAAAGTATATATGGTTATTTTGCATATAGCAAAAATACAAAGTATTCATCAGTTTTCCCGAGTTCAAATTTATTATTGAAAAGTTTTATCAACGATCCATTATTTTATTTTACTCTGATAATGATGATGAATTTTAAAAACTTTATAACTTTTTTGAAACCAATAGAATCTCTCATTTTCTTACCCCTCAATATACTCCTGAACTAATGGAATCGCAGAACATCATTATCAGTATGTCATCCAAACTGATCTCATACTCCTTAAGCTTTTTTACCTCTTTCATTTTGGTCTTATGCATTTATTATATCAACTTATCTTATTATTCATATTTCCACTCTAATTCTCAAGGCTTTACCGTTTCAAATACTATTTGGATCTACTCATAACTATAGTATGTTTTGGGATGTTTATGTTACTCATAATAAACTAAAAGCTTGATCAAAATCAAATTTTTTTCTTAGATATTCTACTAATTAAAATGCCTTTTAAAAATTTTGTTTTATCAATAAAAGAGTTTTTATTTCTTGTCATGTTTATGTTGTGGAATATATTTTTCCTTATAAACCACTTGACTATCTTACTAACTTTCAATAATTTTATTAATTGAGCTCGAGCCACCTCAGATTATCGTTCTCGTTCTGCTTGAAATATCTACTCCACTCATCAATCCAAATAATTTATCTACTCAGAGCCCACCATATCCTTTCTTAATAGTGCATGATAAACAAAAGATTACCTTATCTATCCTATTTGTATCATGAGAGTGTCAAGTGAGAATTCATAACTTTATTTTTGTATCCCTTATTTTAAAATTTTCTTGTCCAACACTTATGTCATTGACCCTACATTAATTCATTCGATAGTTAATAAATCTAAAAATCAAGTCTTTAAACCAAATATTCTTTTTTTTTGTAAAATGATCACAAAATTTATTTTTCAGCTTTATATTATTTACCAAGCTTTAAAAATTTTCAAATGGCAAGCAGTAATATCTAGAAAATATAATACTTTATTACAGAAAAGTAAAAACCTTGTAGAGTGCAAATATTTTTTTTTGTATCAAATAAAATCCTGATAGATCCTTTAATAAGTATAAAGTAAGAGTTATTGCAAAGAGTTTCATTAATGTTCAGGCCTTAAGTACCATAATACTTTTAGCCCAGTTACGAAACCAATAACATTATCTTATGTTTTGCTCTAACCATTGAAGATTTTGACAATTGGACATAAATAATATATTTCCTCATGATCATATTTTTTATGATGTATTTATGAGACAACCTCTAGGCTTTATTAATCATATTATTCATCAATAGGTTTGTAAGTTATGCTAGGCTCTTTATAGTCTCAAGTAGGCCTCTTGTGCTTGATATCATAAACTTCGAACATATCTAGTCTTAGTTAAATTTCATAATTCTCAATCTTATAATTTGTTATTCATTTATTTTCATGAGTGCATAATCATATTTTTACTAGTTTATGCAGATGACTTAATTATTACTAGTAATAAATCATCAATATTTAATCAATTTATTAAATATTTTAGAAGTAAAATTTTTCTCAAAGATCTAGGGTCATTTAACTATTTTCTTGGTGTTCAAGTCATCCACATGGTAAATAGTTTATTTTTTTTCAATGATAATATATTCATAGCTTTTTTTGGCATACTAAAATACTTGAAGCCAATAATGGTACTACATCAATCTCTACAAGTATTTTTTATATCTTATTTGATAATGCTAATATTAGTGATATCATCAAGTATAGTCAAGTTATTGACGGTCTATAGTATTTGACATTCACTTGTCTTGATATTACGTATAAAATAAATAAATTATCTTAATTTATGCATGAGGCTATTTTTAGCTATTGGACAACCATTAAAAGTCTTCTCTAGTATTGATCGATCATACTGATCATGACTTTTTCTCTGAAAAGACTCTCCTTATGGTTTTATGCATTTTTGAATGTCGATTTATTGGTTACAATCTAATCTCTTAGAGTTTCAAGGAACAACGTTATGTTGTAAGATCTTCTACATAGGCTAAATATTAAGCAATTGCTTCTACAACTACTAAACCTTGTTAGATTCTGTATTTTACTCTCGGATGAGACACATAATCATTTTGTTCTTAATAAAGTTTAAAAATGATGAACTTCATGTCTCTCGTGTCTTATATTCTAATCAATTTGCAAATGCTCTTATCAAGTCTTTATCTTATTAACAATTTCTTGTTCAAAATCGATATCTCCAATGGGAGTATCATATTATAGGAGGCATATTAGAAAGGATATTATTGAGAAAAATATATCATGATCCTTCTAATATTTTGATAATATGTTCTTATGATTATAAATAAAAATTATGAAAACATATTATCATGATTCTATCAAATAATAAGATCATAATTTCAACATGATCTCCTATATTATAACATGATTTAAATAAATATTATATATATTACTGATTAAAAATCATATATTTATCCTATTTTATGTGTATATAAATTTATATTTATTATCAATAAAAATTTAAACTAATCATTTTTTTCTCATAAGAACATTGAAGATAAATTTCAAAAAAAATTCCTTGGCAAGAATTTTGTATACTTAGCCTTAATGATTATTGAAATACAAGTATCTACAAACTCTCTGATTGAACTTTAGATCAAACAAATTTAAATTGTAGCCGGCAAAAGGTACCATTGGATTTGGAGGCATCTGCTCCAGCTGCTGTAGTAAGTGGTGGCCTTTAGTTCCCGGGAATCTTTTAGGATCACGAGCTACGTACTGCACGGTATTACGTCCAAAAGCAAAGGTCGTACTCCCTATCATTGCACCGGAGAGGATCCTCCGGTGCACCGATGTGTCGCAACCATCATATATATATATATATATAAAGTAATGCTACAGCCTGTAATGGCTCCTCGATTTCAGTAATGAGAAGGCCATGGTATTGTGATCCTTAAACCCGGACTGCTCTGAGATCACAAATGGATTTAGAATCGAAATACCCAAACATTCCATGAGAGAAGGGTTAATATTCTCCATCTCTGCACAATGACCGGAGTCGTTTTAAAGCTTAATTACATTGATCCTAAAGCACGTCGAAGAATGTTAATCCATTTCATTGACTAAGCAACTTCTTTGCCCCTTCCGCATCAGGAATTCCATTCACTTGACTGTAGGAAAGCACCATCTAACAATGAAGAACACAAGCTACGCTTGTGGGGAAATAGGAAGCTCCAGGCAGCTTCTCATATTCGACCCACCCTCTTCTTTTTCATTTTTCCGATAAATTTACATGATCTAGTGTTTCTTCTTCGTCGCGGTCTTGCTCCCGGATTAAACAGTTTTTTTTTGCATCGAAATATTTGCTGCCTTGATGATTTGATTCAAGCAATGATTTCATCCGGCACCTCAAGAAACCTCGTTCTCTTCTGCAACAGCAAATGAAGGCAAAGAAGGAATCAGAATAGCTTTCGTTGACAAGTAAACAAGACTCTCTAACTTCGTATCAAAGGTAAGAAAAGCCGCGTATAATGACAGTAACATTAAAGATCGCCCTGTCCTATCAAGTGAATCTGCTCAGCTTGCAATAACATGTAGATACGTTGGGCAACATATTAGTCAACTGGCAAACAATTTAGCTGATGTTTGCTTGACAATGTGGCCACACTCAAGTCTCCATTTTCCTAATGAGCGTCTGACAAGCACTAATTAACTATCGGAGGCTTATGGTACAAACAAAAGGACAACTGATGAGATATGATGCAATGGAGAAAATAATCGCACTCGACTGAGACTTGGATGCAGCGACAACCACCCTTAGAACTAAGACGTAGAACGGTCGCATAGTGTCTTTTCCTTGGATGGTGATTACTGAAGTTTACCGCATCGCATGTTTGCTTGTGGTTGGAGACTGCGCTCCCTCTCTTGAAAACCAGACTGACCACCTACTGCAGCTTCTCCCGTTGGGCATATGGAATGGCAGTAAGTCAGCAACGAAGCACTAGAAAACCCCCGAGAAAGTCGCCATGTGCCCCCCCCCGCATTGACTTGCTTAAAATTCTACACTGGTGTAAAGCTTGCAGAGTTACTTTGGTGACTCTGCACATGCAACTGCCACGGATTAAGAAAACGAAGGAGACGACTCATGGTGGGTTAGTCCATGTTCTTCATGTCCATGGAGGTCCATTTAGGATGCACCTACCGAAGGAGAAAGAGTTCATGCCTAGGAATGGTAGGTGCAAGATGAGTGGGGTTGTCTTCTTAGTTTATATGGACCACACTCTTTTATTGTAGTGTACAGCCACGCCATGCAGCAAATGATTCTGATCCCATACCTAACAGATCGGGACATTCACGTGGTCTGCCCCTTCGCCACCAGACCTAACCCAGATTACATGGCCCTATGGCCGTGACGGCGACAGGAAGCAGTATATGGAACCACAAGGATTTCTCGTGTGAGTTGGCCTCGTTTGACTTTTGGAATACAAGTCTACAACCTACGATCACGGGTTAACAGTCTCTCGTCTTCCTGTCTTTTACAGCACGCCTTGTCGTAAGAATTACCAAGGAAACGTTAATGATGTCAATGGATGTTCCTAAGACACTATGAACTCAGATTAAACTCTTCGGAAGTCATCACCGGAATACAGTGAGACTAACTCAAAGAAGAAGAAGAAGAAGAAGAAGAAGAAGAAGAAAGAGCGAGGGACGTACGATATCCTTCCGTCCGGCCTTCGAAGTCGGCGCAATCGGCTCCGGCGAGGGCGACGGGTTAGCACCATCTTTGGGGGAGCAAAGCTGCATGATCTTCTCGGCGGCTTCGGCGGCGTCTTTGCTCTCCTGCATGAGCTTCTCCACCTGGGCCTTGGGCAGCCTCATCTTGAGGCGGACAGTCCCGTCCTTGGTCTCCTCGGCCTCGAGGGCGGACGGACGCCAGGTGGCGCGGGAGAGGTCCGACATGGAGCGGTGAGAGAGCCGGAGGCTCTCCAGCCGCTCCTTAGCGCCCACCTGGAGCGAGCCGGACCAGGCCCGGCGTGCACCCCGCTGGTCTGGCAGCTGCCGGTGATCCACTAGGAAGTAAAGCTTCCCAGGCTTAAGCGGGACGTCCGGGTCCAGCGGCCGCGCCCGGAGGCCGAGTCGCTGCACCTTCTCCGCGTCGAGGAGGGCGTGGCCGGGATGGTCCCGCAGCACGTTCATGGCCTGCGCCGGTGGCTTCACCTTGAACGTGGTGCCATCAACCTTCATCACCTTGGCTCTCTTCTTCCTCCCACCTAAACTGTTGCCCATTCTCTCTCTCTCTC